GGAGGGGGGGGAAGGGTCATACCTGAAGTAGGGGGGAGCGGGTTCTGACCTGAAGTAGGGGTTAGGGGGGAGCAGGGTTGGACCCAAAGCGGCAGGGGGGATGGGGAGGGAGAGCGCAGGGCTGGACGTGGGGCTCCATCCCTCCTTCCCCCATCATTCTTGATGGGCAATTTGCTAGTAAATAAATAAATGTCTTGACTGACAAATTTGTCTGTAAGTAAAATAAATCTGAAAATGAACTACAATACATGCATGTTAGCATTGCAAGGAAATTAAAACCAGGAACTTAAAATTAAGGATTAAGCAAACCCTTTAAAATCTTACCTGCAAAACTGGATCAGTATTAGAATTTTTTTCCAAATGTACAGTAGGTAAAAGTACCAAAGCTGTCTCTAAAATTGTTCTAACAATAGTTTTTCCTCCACCTGTAGGGCCTACTAACATCACACCAACTTGAGTCTGAAAACATATGGGCAAAATCAACTTATTATAGGTAGTATTTGAGGCTTATCATTCCCAGAACATTAGACTTAATTAGAAAAAATACTTGTAGTATGTGCAGATATGAATTTGTTCTTGTTTCTGAGAAATAAGTTTCTACCACAGCATGATTCATTTTTGTAGTTCTCAGCAGACTTACGGCTGTTTTGGGGGTTTTGCCATATATCTTCAAAAATATTTAAAAAACTACTATATGAAACTTGTCATAAACCCCAACAATTCAATTTTGTGCAAAACTTGTATTCTTTTTTCCCCCAACACTTAGAAGAAAATGAAACTACTTTAAAGACCTGGATCTCCCAGGCCAGCCTCAAATTGCTGTGCCATTGAGTCAATCCCTCTTTCTGACTCAATGACTATTTCATGATTCACACAAAATGCAATGCTAACAGAAGACCAGGTGACATTACTGCTCTTTGTGATGCATTTCTTCATGCCAATGCTTTGACTTAGACAAAGCAAGAACTTGAATCTTTCACATTCAAAATAAATATCCTAATGGGATAATTGTGTATAAGTAGGTAAGTGGCTGTCTCTCACACACAATAACTTTTGCTGAAATCACTATAGTCCTGTGGGGAAAATGGTTTTGACAAAACAGAATGTTCCAATATAAACAAATATTAAAAAAAATTTCAATGTTAAAAAAAAAAATCCGCCATACTTACCAGAATTTGATTGTAAAACTGTATAACTTTCTCTATTTGAGATGGCCAAGGCTGCAAACACAGCTGTTGTGTTGCAGCAGCTATTGCTTTCTAAGATAAGAAAAAAAAATACTATTAGCTAAGCAATAGTACTTAAAATAATGATATGAATTGCTTTAAAGTAAATTTCCCTGAACATTTTGTGTTCTTTTGTATACAAAACATAGGCAGTGGCATAAATAGAAAAACAAAGCAAAACAGATGGTTTCCACATTATCTAGGGCTAATATCATATATTCTCACATAAACCATGTACCTTTCTCCAAAACCCAGCTGCTGGAAATTTCATTGTGCATTATAATTGAGAAATATGGTAAAAACAATTTGTCTCATTTAAGAACACAAGTGAAAGTAAAATCTGCACACAACTCTCAGGGAGCAGAACAATGAGTAGGCTCCAGTCCCTAGCTGCTATTATTTATTTACTTACAGCAATGAAAATTATTCTTTCTTTATTCTGTCTTCAAAAACAAGATGTATATTATATTCCAAGGTGTGTTGTATGCAAAAAAAAAAAAGAAAGAAAAAAAAAGTATTTCTGAAAAAACACGTTTGTAAATAAATGGTCTGGTCCCTTAAAAGCCTGTGAGTTTCTGACAGACTAGAATTCAATAAATAATATTTCAAACTGATGAACATTTTTTATAATTAACTGCTTAATTGCAAATGTAACAGGGATCTTAACTATAACATGCATCTTATTTCATACTTGATACTGAAGGTCTTCATTTAAAAGTTCCCTGGATTTTCTATGGACAAAGAAATTTCAGAAGTCCATACTTGAATGACAAGACTACATCTTTAACTCCTAAGTTCATTCTTTCCTCTCCTACAAATAATGGATTTGAGAAATCATTCCTTTAATTTATACCAGTGTAGTTCCATTGCCTAAATGGTATGAATCTTAATTTATATCTTAATAAGTTGATCTACAAAAATTTCTGCATATGCAAGAAGATGGCTTTCAAAATGCATTTTGAGAAGGGTTACTAAAATGTAAGCATGAGATTCTATGCCCTGGGTTGCTGACACTGATGCCTTGGTTTGAGATGAGAAACAATCTTCTGTAGCAGGTCAAATGGAGAAAAGTAGAGGGTGAGGAAGAAGCACAGTTACTAGTCCCAAAGTGTTACTGAAGGGCCCTGTTGAGGATGGCTCATGACCTCCCCATAGGAAGGCATTTAGTGAATGAAAAGACAGAGGCCTGTTGTTGGGGCAATTTTATTGGCCAAGGATGCACTATAAGGTGGTGAACTATTGCGGGTCCTGTCCTATATGTCAGCTGTTAGCCACAAGCAAGCCTCCTATAGCTTTGCTAGTCCCACTCTGCTTGGTGGAAACACAATTTGAAAGGGTTGTGATGGACCTTGTGGGACTGCTTCTGAAAAGCAGCACAGGATACCAAATTTATACTAGTTATAGGGTGCATCTACATGAGACACTACATCACTGTAGCAATGAGCTACGTTGCTGTAGTTTGTTACTACAGAGATGTAGCATTGGTGGGCATGAACCATGAAGCCAACACTATGGCGCAGTAGCAACGAGGTACTATACACTGCAGATGCTCACTGCTACTTTGTACTAGCATGGGAAACATCCTGTGCAGCATCAGGACTGCACAGTAACGCCAGTTATTGGATAGTCATTTAGTATTTACATAAGTAAGTACCTAATGACTGTGAAGTCTGGCACACATGTAGATGAACCCCTAATGAACTAAGCAATGTAGTATTCAGAGGCTATGCCCATGTGGACAGTCTCAGTCCCAAAGGTGGCAGAGAAGCTGTTGACAGTTTTCTCTTGGGTGGGGTTTCCAAGGGAGATACTGATGGACCAGGGAAGTAACTTCATATCTGGTGTAATGATGGGCATGTGCCAGACCCTCAAAATTTAAAAATTGCAGACCTCTATATACCACCCACAGACCAATGGAGTAGTTGAATATGATTAAAGAATATGCTGAGAAAATTCATAGCAGATGAGCCTCAGAAGTGGGACCAGTGCTACACCTTATGAAGTAAGTTGTCAAGAGGGGCTGGTAGATTATGAGGTCCACCAACTAGACAGGTGGAAACCCAAGCAGATTTATCATATTAATTTGCTTAAACTGTGGAAAGATAGAGTGGCTGAATATCCCGACAAGCTAGAATTAGGTGCCCCCAGAAGAAGAACTTGGGACCCAGCAGGTGGTGGAACTGAGAGCTCAGCTAACTGACTGGCAATGAACACAGGTGGGACAGACAGTGAAGGAATTCCAGGATGTGTTTCAAGAGGATCCAGGAGAGGCTAAAAAGGCAATACATCACATTGAGACTCCACTGGGCAAGGTAGTTTGGGATGCCTGGAGACAAATACCACAGAAGCTACACAAGCAGGCGACGGCTGAAATTAAACAGATGTTGGAAAAAGGAGTGATTATAGAGTCCCAGAGCCAGTGGAGGAGCCCAACTGTGGTGGTGCTAAAAACCAATGAGGGTATTCAACTATGCATCAATTTTCAGAAGATAACTCAGCTAAATTTGATGCATACCCCATGACTAGCATAGATGAGGTACTAGAGAAAACTGGACAAACCAGCTACATATTCACCCTGGACTTCACGAAGGGTTCCTGGCGGATACCGCTGGCAAATGGGGACTAGAAAAAGACAGCTTTTTGGAGACCATGGGGTTGGTCATACAAGTTTAAGCAGGTGCCTTTCAAGCTCCATGGAGCAGCAGTCACATTTCAGAGGCTTATAAATTATTGGCAACATACCAGAAACATGCAGCGAAGTATAGTGAATCCTAGGAAAAGAAGATATCCAACACCTTGTATTCCAAGGGGGCCGTGACCAGATACGCCCATTTATTGGCAAAGTGGTGACCTTGTGGACCTAACCACAACCTTCAATGAAAAGGCAAAGCCAAGCTTTCGAGCGATTATCAGACTATTACAGAAGCTGATCAGACCTTCCAGAAGGCCACGAAACCCTTATACCATTCCCTGGTATTGCACACAACTGATTTTGATTGGCAGTTTATTGTATAGACGAATGCATCAAACATGGCACTGGGGTGATGTTACCTCAAAGAAGAGAGGGAATGGAATATCCTATAAGTAGGAAACTACATTCATAAGAAAAAACATTCCCCCATCAAGAAGTAATATCTTGACATTAAGGGGGTTGTAGAGATGTTCTGGTATTATCTGTTAAGCTGGCAGTTCACCATAATCACAAAAAATGCTCCTTCATACTTGCTACAGTGAAAGGAAAACGGACAGCATGAGGCTCATGAGGTAGTCCTTTAGTTTACAACCCTATTGTTTTTTAATGGAGTACAACCCTGGGACTTAAAATGTGAATGCTGACTTCTTCTTATGAAAACATGAAGAAAAGAAGATGCAGAAGACAACGCACCCCCTGGACAAGGAAAAACATAAGGGGTTTGTGTAAAAGGGAACTCTTGCCACGTTACTGAGGGAAGACGAGAGGGCCAGCAGGACTGGCAAGGCACCTATAAGAGCAGGGTCTTTGTGGCACAGAGGGTGCATCTACACGTGCCAGACTGCACAGTAACTGGTGTTACCATGTAGTCCTGATGCCGCACGTTTTTTTCCCCCACATTACTGTACAGTAGTATTGGCATCATGGTTTGTGCTGCTGATGCTATGTCACCATAGCAACAAGCTATGGCCATGTAGCTCATCACTACGATAATGTAGCATTTTGTGTAGACACACCCAGAGACAAGGGAACTCCAGGAAGGAAAGGCAGCTGGCAGGGCTGAGTCTAATGAGCAATCCCTGTACTCAGATCATAGGTCAGGCTGATTGGAAGGGGGGGGGCTCAGGAGAACACAGTCTTGCCCTCAGGCTGGAGAGACATTCTAGCCCTGGCTGGGGAGACGGCAGGACTCCCAAGACCATGGTGGTGACCAGAAGCAATAAAGAAGCCCTGGTGGTTAAGGACATAGAGGGGTTTTTTTTCCCTCTGGTTTTCCTACCACAGGACTGAGAAAGGAAAAGGATTTGAGTTTCTTAGTTTTGGTGCTCAGTGCTCAGAGGGGTGGGATTTTATTTTGAAGTAGCTGCTGGAATTCCAGTTTCAGTTTGACAGGAGGACTGGGAATGGCTGGAAAGAGAAGTGCAAGCTGCATTGCAGGCATCTTAAAGTACCCTGCGAGATTGGCCGTTGTAGTCAAGACGGCCGAAGAGAGGGAGAAGGAAGAAAGAGAGGGAATTTAACCCCCCAAGGCTGAACAGGAGGGGCACCAAGCCCCAACTGTGCAGCTTAATTCCCAGCCATGCTACTACTGCCAAGAAGCCAAGGCTGGAACCAGTGGGATAGGCCTGAGGGTAGCGGCTAGCAGGCCTGTACAAAGCAGCTAGCATTTGCTTTGGATTTGGCCAATTCAGGGAATAGTGATTTGATCTGGTGATTCAAATTGCTGTCCTGAATTGATCCGGCCGAATCTGATTTGAAATCGAAAAGGCCCCATTCCCCGTCCACTCTCCCAGTGCTGGATGCTGGGGCCAAGTGGGGCAGCCATTGATGGGGCTGGGAGAGCAGGTGGGGGTTGGGGGG